TAGGTTGTTGAAATTTCATATTTAAGTATTATATCAAAATCGTAGATCCGTATCAACTTTTGAGCGATTTCCGACAACCGGAAGTAGTACTTTTTCTACTTTGAATTTTTCAAAAGCCTATAACTTGAGTACTATTTCAGATAGATAAATGAAATTTCACATGTAAGTAAAAGATCTAATTCTCTACCTTCTGTTAAATTTTGAGTAATTTCCGTTGACCGGAAGTAGTAATTTACGCTACTTCCGATTTCTCAAAAAACTAATGTAAATTTATTAAGTACTAATACTATTGCGCACTATTATACACACCTTTATTAGGCGTTCGCTTGGTGCGCAATTGTTTTTTACTGAGATTCTATTCTATTTTTAAAAGTTTCAGTATTTAAAATGGATTAAAAATCATAACTATATCCCCAGTTACCAACCCCTGTTGTTTTATATAAGAATTTTCGAGAAAGTTTAGGGGAGATCACTACCGGTTTATTAATATACATAGTACAAATCTATTTAAATGACCTTCGTGGGCATCCCTATTTTAAAGAAGTGCAGTAAGTCATGGAAGTAGTGTGATTGTTTACCTACCTTTCAAACTATAGCTCTTGTAAATTTTAAAATATTTTTATACGCAACAATCTCTGCTATAGTAGACCTGTTGTTTTTTTTTTTTTTTACAAAACCACTTTCAAGATGCATGAAAAATATAATTTTTGAAACAAAAATTCATTGTTTTTTTGGTCTGAACTGGGCCTCTAAACGTCCTGGCCCCCCCCCCCCCCCCGCATTGCGGGGTCTGGCAGTATGGTAGTTCCGCCCCTGACCCCTTCCACCCTATCTAATTCTTGACTTCATTAGCTACCATTTTGCTCAGTAGCGTTTTTTTTTTTACTATTGCTGATTTTGAAAAAAAAAATGTTTTTTTTTTTTAAATTATTTTGAAATACCTAATTTCTAATATTTTAAAACGGCAAAAGTTCAGATTTCAGTAATTTCTGTTTCTGTCGGATTCGGTTTTCTTGTTGTATCGGAACTTCTTGTTTTTTCGAACATTGAAAATATTTTCTTCTAACTAAAAGAGCGATTTTGCACAACGGAAGAGATAGCGAAGAGTGCAATATCTCCATCAGGTCAACATGCAGTCAGTGTTGCTTTCAGACATTTATTTCCAGGAGAGAGTTGGCACTTGAAACTTTCGGTGGGGGGGGGGGGGTGCACTTAAGTTTCCGGAGGGTGGGCGAGGACATATTTGCTGTATAATTTCTATTTCGTCAGGGACGGTGGGCGGTGGACGTTTCACCAAGGAAGTATGGGTGTACCCTGAAGAGATGCCTGAAAGAAACTCTGTAAACAGCCCATTTGGAGACGATCTCCCATAATGCGGCCCCTATGGCACCTAACGTAAGGACCGCCCTGACAAAAAGCGACACTCGATTTTCTTCCCCCCCCCCCCCCACCCCTTATCACAGACACACCAGTTCACATCAGCGGGCGGGCGTCACGTGATCACGGTCTCAAAAAGTCGGTTAGGAACGGTGACTGACAGATTTGTCACATTGGTGTTCCGAAAACACCGGGTGTCTTCCATCCGTCATCCTACGGTACCGAACTTCGTCCTGCAATTCATAATGTCCTACAATACGTTATGTATTTTCGTCCTACAATACACAATGTTCTATAGTACCGAACTTCGTCCTACAATACATTACGTCCTAGAGTACCTAATGTCCTACAGTACATAATGTCTTACAATACTTAATGTCCTACAATACCTAATGTCCTACAGTACCTAATATCCTACAGTACCGAATTTCGTCCTACAATATATTCCGTTCTAGAGTACGTAATGTCCTACAACACATAATGTCCTACATTACCTAATGTCCTACAATACCTAATGCCCTACAATACCTAATTTCCTACTATACATAATGTCCTACATTACCTAATGTCCTACAATACCTAATGCCCTACAATACCTAATGTCCTACAATACCTAATGCCCTACAATACCTAATTTCCTACAAATACATAATGTCCTACATTACCTAATGTCCTACAATACCTAATGCCCTACAATACCTAATGTCCTACAATACCTAATGCCCTACAATACCTAATTTCCTACAATACATAATGTCCTACATTACCTAATGTCCTACAATACCTAATGCCCTACAATACCTAATGTCCTACAATACCTAATGCCCTACAAAACCTAATGCCCTACAATACCTAATGTCCTACAATACCTAATGCCCTACAATACCTAATGCCCTACAATACCCAATGTCCTACAATACCTATTTCCTACAATACAGTAATGTCCTACATTACCTAATGTCCTACATACCTAATGCCCTACAATACCTAATGTCCTACAATACCTAATGCCCTACAATACCTAATTTCCTACAATACAGTAAGGTCCTACATTACCTAATGTCCTACAATACCTAATGCCCTACAATACCTAATGTCCTACAATACCTAATGCCCTACAATACCTAATGCCCTACAATACCTAATGTCCTACAATACCTAATGCCCTACAATACCTAATGCCCTACAATACCCAATGTCCTACAATACCCAATGCCCTACAATACCTAATGCCTTACAATACCTAATGCCCTACAATACCCAAGGTCCTACATTACCCAATGTCCTACAATACCTAATGTCCTACAATACCTAATGTCTTACAGTACCTAATGTCCTACAATGCCTAATGTCCTACAATACCTAATGTCCTACAATACCTAATGTCCTACAATACCTAATGCCCTACAATACCTAATGACCTACAATACCTAATATCATACAATACCTAATGCCTACATTACCTAATGCCCTACAATACCTAATGCCCTACAATACCTAATGCCCTACAATACCGCTTGCTATTGTTAAGTCAGGTAAGCCACGTGATCTTCAGATAATTTGTTCTGCCAGTGATCAAGTATCTTCACCCCCCCCCCCCCTAACCTTCCTCTTTCTAATCCCCCCCCCCCCTCAAACCCCCACCCCAGTCATCCTACTTCCCTTGAATAGTGTGAATAAACCAATCAGTTCTGACAAGACGTAGGACCCTAGGTGTCAACTATGATAACTTTCCTGATGTCTTTTTTTAGTATACGGTCGTATGGGTGTGAGATGAAGAGAGAGGGGGGGGGGAGATTGTGTCGGCGTTCACAAAGTGACTAAATCTTCATACGAATATGAACGGAGCCACTGACTCGAGACGACAGACAGACAGACAGACAGACAGACAGCTTAAATGATCAACAGAGCTTCGGGCGGTTTGTTATAGGTTAGGGGGTATTGTAGATTATATTGGGTATTTGTAAAGCAAGCATTAAAAAATATAGCGTATCAAATCTATGTTTAGATCAGTGTTTCTTAACCGGGGTTCGATCGAACCCCATGGGGTTCTTTGAGTCTGCCGCAGGGGGTTTCGGCGTAGGTCAAGACACACGCCCGACTCATAGGATTTATTGGAGTTTGTCAATGCGAACGATAGAAAAAAAATTTAAGAAGTTTTCGGTGAATACGTATACGAAACTCGTCCGGTAACTCAAAAAAAAAGGTTCAGAACCACTGGTTTAGATAGAATTATTACCTAAACAAAGCCTTAACCATAATCTTAAACCAGAATAATGATCCTTTCCCATGCCCTAATCCTAAACTTCGACCTAACCTTACCACCAAAAAAAACAACAAAAGAATACTCGATTACATATTCTATTGTCCAGTCGATATTTTTCCAAACAAGCGATTACCCAAATCCCTTACAACATGTTTGGCTAGACACGCCACGACCCTGTTCAAATCCCTTTTGTAACTAATATCCTTCTACTTAGTTGAATAAACTTCATATGCAAATGAATTGTGCTGAAAAGCTGATTTCTTCACGCTAAAGTTCTAAATTTAGCCATGGCTAGATTTTTTTTTCAGGGGAGGGAAGCCTAAACAGTGGCTGCAGATTTAGCTGAACTTGTTTCGCCTTTATAATTTTATTGAAGTAAATTTTGCTTACAGGGCATTTAAAAAAAAAAAATTTTTTATAGGTTTTATTTTATCAAGCGGCAGGCTAAAAATACATGAAAGAAAAAATGTCTTTTATAGATGATTTTTCCTATTGTACAATGCTCGGCCTGCTCTCTTGTAGTTGAATTTTGAATGATGAGGGGGGGGGGGGGGGAGGAAGGGTTTATATAAAAAAAAAAACACCCCTTTCAGGTCTCTTTTTAATTATTTTGTGCAGGTGAAGTAGAGTTCATCTGTCTTGTTTTGGTTGTTTTTTTAATTAATTCTATGGTCAGCCTGTCGTTTCGTACTTGGTTTTTTCCCCCAATTTAGGCCAGGTACTCATTAGAGCTGAGTGGACTCTGTGAGACTTCCAGCAGCCCAGGTTATCATTTCAGTTTGGCCAAATTTCTGTCCGAGATTTTTATCATTTTTTTTGTTTCTCTCTGTACCCAGTAAAATAGTTTTAACACACGGACTAGGTTAAATTATGAAGTTATGTAAAAAAAAACGATTGCACGCCTAGTTAAGGCTATTGTTATGAGTCTTCTTGTTTAAACCCAATTTTAAAAAAAAAGATTGAAATAGTATTATAGCCAATGAAATTTGTTGTTATTTATGTGGCCTATAAAAATTATTGTTACTTAGTTTGCTAATTAAGATGGCGGTTAACTTTTAATGCCACTGAAAATAGTTGCTTTTCTAAACAATGTTTTTGAAACAAATGAAATCAATTCTTTTTTTAACTAATGTAAACTGTTTATTTTAACAAGTGAAAGTAGATATCGCCATTGTATATTCAAATTAGCTCCAACTTGCAAATTAAATTAAAAAGCCAATGAAGAAAAGAAAAACAATTTTGCTACTCACATTCCGCATGCAGCGTGGAAATATGTACTACTATCGTGTAATTAAATAAGTTGCAACTTTTTAATTAATTTTAAAAAGTCAATTAAGAAAAAAAAAATGCTACTCACGTTCCGGCATGCAGCGCGTGATGCAGGTGACGTCATCCTCGAAGCTGTTCCCGTTGGTCTGGCACCCGCCGTCCCAGAATCTCTGGGCACTTCCGCTTGTCCTTGTCGTAGTGCCACCGGACGACGTACTGGCTGGCACACAGGCCCTTGACGTGGGGCAGCTCGCAGAGGTCTGAAAAAACGTAAGGTCTCGGGTGAATCGGCCCCACGGCGGGTGAACTGCCGGGAGGGCTGGGTCACGGGCGACCTGCTCGCTGGGCACGCACGCCATCTCGCAGTCCTGCAACGACCGGAACCGGTTGGTGTTTGCCGCCGCAGTTGCCGTACCAGAACATCTTGCATTCGTGCTTGCGGCTGTCGTAGTAGTACCTCTGGACGTACTCATCGCACGGTCCATGTCTTTCGGCAAGAAGCACTTCGCCTGTATCCCACGCCCCGGATGAAAACTCCACCATCACCACCACAACGACAACCATCACCAGCATCACCTTCGTTCCCCGCGTCAACTTCCGCTGACGCGAATCCATTTTTTAGTAATTCAAGTATCCTACTATCTCTTTCTAGTTAAGAAATAACAACAACATATCCATTTCGAGGCTGTCTTTTAGAGTCGGAGAATTAATCTGTTAATAATAGGAAGCTCCCTGCGTCGTTCTAGCTAAACTAACCAACCGTATCGCGGTGGGTTTTTTTTATACATATATATAAACCAGCACCGCTGCTATTAATTCAAGAACTATTCATTCACAAATCATTCACGGGGGGGTGAAATAACCCACGGTACGTATAATCCATATAGTGAAATCTCGGTTATGGAAATAGCATTGGTAAGAGCGGACACTTTTAGAAAATTATTTTGTTGAATGAATATGTGTTACTGTAACATTAAAATAAAATAATCCTGAGGAAATATATTCGGTGATCAGTTCCATTGAAAATGTTGTCATTCACAAATGTGTAATGCAGATTACGAAACAATTTGAACAAGTTGAAATAAGAAAATATCTTGACACTTTTCACAACAATATCTGATACATTTCCGTTAAGAGGTACCCGGAGAGTATTGATCAGCAACGTCAACACAATAACTGTCGTAATTGGTAACATACATTTTTAACAACGAACTCAATAAAACTACACATGACTATATTCTCCGGTCAGTGTTTTCTTCCAGACTATTTCTCCGGGGGGCACTTGACATTTTCGGCGGGGCGGGGGGGGGGGGGGGGGGGGGGGGGGGGCGACGACGACGGGCCACCACCGTTAAAAGTATAAATTTTATATATATTTTTAATAAATTCCATTTCATTCGGGGTCGGGGGTTGGGAGTGGATGTAGACTTACTTCGGAAGGGGGGGGGGGGGGCTCCGTTCTCGAAACAGATGCCTGGAAGAAACTCTGCTCTCCGTTTAATCCCCAACACTTTTAATCATCTAAACCTATTTTACACTTTTAAATTTTCTAACCCTAATACTTAAACCAGGGGTCTCCAAACTACGGCCGCCCGCGGGCCGGATGCGGCCCCGCGAAGTTTCTCTCATCCGGCCCGCGGAGATCTTTTTGTCCAAAGAAAATCGTTTGTTGGTGATGGGCTGAGGAACTTTGCCCAGAAAAATCAAAAGACATGCCTGGAAGAAACTGGCCCCGAACTGAAATTTGATAGTTAATGCGGGCCCTCGGACTGAAAAGTTTGGGAGACCCCCTGACTTAAACTAACTGGACCAGATATCACTAACCCAAGTCTAACCCTAATACAAACCACCCATTTAACAGTAGCTTCTGATAGTAATAGACTAAAAAAAACATCTAATAGCCCTTCATATCTTAGGTTTTAAGAGGCCAGCAGCGAAGATATAGATGGGGCGGGGGAGGGCGGGGGCGGGGAGGGGGGGGGGGGCTAGTGATTTCGTGGAAAATGGTGCTTTTTTATTTGTCCGATCTTACCCCCCCCCCCCCCTCGTTCCACAAAACCCCTACTTGACTAGGGTATTAATACTATTCGTTTTTTTTCACAATGAGATTTCTACCGCTCCACTCACACACACACACATTAACATATATATATAGTATATATATATATATATATATATATATATATATATATATATATATATATATATATATATATATATATAATACGTATGTGTATTTATATATTTACACATACATACATACACACGCTTAATCATAAACACACACACTTTAGACTTTAGACAGATTCGAGAAAAAAAAATCCTTAAAATATAAACAAAAAAAAATCAATCAAACCAGACATGTTGTTTAAACACAGCAATAACATAAACATGCCCGCACACGATAGATACACCCCCCACACTAAATTAACACCTCTCCCCCCCCCCCCCCAAATAAATTAACACACCCCCCCCTCCCCGCTGAATTAACGTAGACCTAACTGTATCTACCACAACTGTGTTATTTCTCGTGTTCTCTATATAGGCTACCATTTGACACCTTTCTAATGTCTAGCACTAGCCACACTAACGTTAATCAGTGTAATTATTTGCCCGGGTTAATTAAGAAGCTGTCCTCAGAGTTGGGGCCGCGGTCCTGTGTCCGGCCAGCACCAGGGGTGGACAGGCTGTGTCCAAGACCCCCGGGAAATTTGAAAGGAGCCCCCCCTCCCCACCCCCAACACCGGATTGTAATTTACATAGTGCATTTTTTTTTCTTCATCAAGGTTTGAATTTGAATTTTTGGTGTGAAAGAAGGGTAAAATTGTAAAATCAATTTTTTTTAAAAATAATTTTAAACAGTACTAGGACTAGTGCAACACCATTTTAGGAGGGCCCTCAGAGATATATTACAGGTGGGGGGGGGGGGGGGGTCGGGAAAAATCCCCTCCAATCCACCCCTGTCCAGCACAATAACGAAATCTCGAACTCCCCCAACCCCACCCCCAACGCATCTAAATTATTTTGTTCGACTTTAAGAATCTGTCCAGAAACGGCATTCTGTATTCGGTTTCCGAGCCACAGCAACAAAATCTTGAATTCCTCATAACACCCCCCCCCCCCAAGCACTTTCCACCCCCCCCCCCCTCCCACTCCCGAAAAAAAAAAAACCCACAAAAAAGAACATGAGTATTTCGTTTATTTCACATACCCTCAAATTTATTTTACATGTAATCAATAACAAAATGCCAGTGTTTTGAGTTTCGTATCAGCCAACTTTCATTGAGCAGTTCCCCACCCCACCCCTCGTCTGGCAAAGATATCCCCACCCACCCCACTCCCACCCCACCCCCACCCCCACCACTCCGTAGCCCACCATCGATATCGGGCAGGTATGAGTAACACAAACAGCAAGCAGATCTTTTGTCTACCATTCTTCATCTTGAAGTAGGTTTTGATTTATGATGGAGACGATACTGGCAAGTCAGAAATGTACTTAGGGTGGGAAGGAGGGGGGTGGTTGGTTGGGGGGGGGGGGGTCGTCCGTCCCTGATAATTATCATTCTTTCTACATTAATATAAATATAGGTGACCGCAATGTACATTTGTATTCACTCTGTATGACGGGGGAGAGGGGGGGAGGGGGTTGTAGACGAAAGCTTATCTAACAAGAAGACCTAGAATAACAAAGGGCAAGGGAGTTAATAAGCTCCCGTTATATTCGTAACACAATACGTAGCTGATACAAAGCAGAAAATTAGATTGTTGAAATAACTTTACAGTCTTTTAGGTAACACTACTTAGTAATATCATAAAAAGATTTACATTTTTAGTAATCTCCATAAACTAATTGAGTAAAAATGTATATAATATTATTGTGAACCCAATAAGAAAACTAAATAAAAAAATAAATTTATAATAAAAATGGATATGTACAACTTTTTATTAGGTTGGTCAATTGGACATTTTCATTTAACACTATTTCTCTATCATTAACAATGTCGTCGACAGGAGATGCAAATGCAAATGAAAACAAAAAGAAAGACAATCCGGATTCTTTAGTGGCAGACATACAGAAAAAAATAACAGATGCCTTTGATATATTTGATCATGAATCAAATAAAACCAGTTGATGTAAGGGAGGCAGAGGCGTAGCGACCCTACCCGGCGCCCGGGAACAAACTTTTCGATTTGCATCCCCCCCCTCGAGATTTCGATGTGCACCCCCCCCTCGAGATCTTTATTTGCACCCCCCCCCCCCCTCAAACTTTCAATTTGCACCCCCCCTCAACCTTTCAATTTATTTTTCCAACCCATGTTTGGCGCCCCCTAAGCTCGGCGCCCGGGGACATATGTCCCCCCCCCCCCCGCCTCCCCCTCGCTACGCTACTGAAGGGAGGTGAGTACCATCATAAGATCCCTCAACTGCTGCCCCAGTGAAGCTGAGATCCATGACATGCTTGCAGAGATTGAAGAAGAGGAACCAACTGGGTATATTCGATTTGAAAGATTTCTTCCTATGATGACCAAAGTTTTAATGGAAAGAAGGTATAAAGCTTCACCAGAAGACCAGATACTGCTGGATGCTGACATGAAAGGTTATTTGAACAGCTGAGGAGTTGACAAAATTCATGACAGAAAGAAGGAGAACCATTTACGCAAGAAGAATTGGAAGAAATGCTGTCTGCTGCCGTAGACCCAGATAAGAAAATAATTTTGTACACAGAGTATGCTTCAGTTATGGCAGTCGATGAAACATAGGTAGGTTCTTTTTTTACCAAAAAATCTATTTGGATTTAATTATTATATGTATACTCCTATAAAAAAAATTGATATTTTCAGGTCCTAAGAAAATGTGATTTAACAGTCAGAGTTTCTTCCAGGCATCTCTTCGGCCCCCCCCCCCCCCCCCCCCCGAAAAATTTTTACCGCCTTCCCCGAACGAAATGAAATTTATATAATTTATATAGAAAATATATACTTTTAACAGTGTCCGCCCCCCCCCCCCCCGAAGAAAGTCTACCGCCCCCTCCCCCCCCCGAAAATTTCAAGTGCCCCCCCCCCCCCCGGATAAAAAAGTCTGGAAGAAACACTGTTAACAGTTAATGTGCAGCTGTGTTATTCATAAAATAAAATGGAAGACAGGAAAGACAATTTACATGTGACAAAAATAAATTGAAAATAAGATCTGGATGTAGCCATGAATGATGCGTGGTCTATGATATAACAACACAGTGTATTTTTCTGTGCATTATTTTGTTGGCCTGCTCCTTGTTTGCGTAGCGACCCTTCCCGGCGCCCGGGGACAAACTTTCGATTTGCACCCCCCTCGAACTTTTCATTTGAACCCCCCCTCAAA